CAAATTTCTGAGCTAAGAATAATATTGATGAATAGAATTTCCAAATCCATAGACCTAAGCCCCAATCAACAAAGTGATGATATTTGATGTTCTATCTAGGGGATTCTCTTTGTAAATTATCTTAACAAAAAATATAGTCTCATATACAAGTTCTGACTTAGGAGTTGCACAATATTCATTGTCTTCAGAGCCTTATCCAAAGGGGCCCCAAAGCAGGTGAGACAATTATTGGTTTCTTGTGTCTAATGAGGCTCTCAGGTGTCTTATCTGGCACCAGTGACCATAAAGACTCCTGTAAATGCCAACTCTGTGATTTTCCCCAAGCAACTTTCCTGCACAGAGGACTAAGACCATGAATGCCTGCTCCTCACTTGCTCAGAACTTAACCTTTATTTCTAAGATTTTGTATTGTTTTATGTGATCTTTGTTTGTTCATAGTAGAGTGTATCTCAGAGGTGGTATGTCCATGGAGGTAACCCTCTTAAAGCTGTGTTGCATTCTTTTTCATTTTTTGGTATATGAAACCCAGGATTGATGAATCTATAGGGACAACAAGTATAACAATGGTTTAGGAAGGAGGTACAGTGGGGGGCCGGCACGATGTCATGGAGTCAATGTATAAAACGAGTGTTTAGAAACTGATTGTGATAGCAATAGTACATTCTACTTGATGTGATTGAAATGTGAAATAATAGGATATATGTGTTACATCCCAACCAACAAAAAAGAAGAGGAAGAAGCACTGATGAGTACTGCCGAAGTGAAGGATATCTGATAACTAGAGAATCTATCTCCCCCAGGTAAGGTCACAAGAGAGGATACATCAATATTTGCTTTTGAAAAGAATGAACTTCTTTTAGATTCAGGGAGCAATAACAAGAGTCTTAATTAAGCTGAACTTTGAGATAAACCAAGAAACATTTGTCTCTCTCTCTTTCTCTCTCATGAGTTTCAAAGGAATTAGGGTTGGGACTTAAAATAAATGTAATCAGAGAAAAATGTGATCACTCAGTTGGGCTGTGGATATGTTTGTGTGATTTTTAAATTTTATACAAGAAGAGTCCAGTAGGAATAATATCACGAGTAATTTTGGAAAATTGGGAGCATAGATGGAGTGGACAGATCTTGGTTTTTGCAATTCCATTACTGATAAGCAAACTTGCCTTAGTTGGGAATTGAATTTGTCCCAATTTTAATCATTCCTGTCTAGGTGCCTGAACTAGTTGTTGTGCATTGACCCAATCACATGGTCATGAGTTGGACAAACCAGTCGAGTGTCTCCGAGTTTCTCCTCCTGGGCCTCATCTGGAAGCCTGAGCATCAGCTGATTCTCTTTGCTCTCTTCCTGAGTATGTACCTGGCCACAGTCCTGGGCAACCTACTCATCATCCTGGCCATCAGCACAGACTCCCGCCTGCACAGTCCCATGTACTTCTTCCTCAGCAACCTGTCGTTTGTGGACCTCTGCATCTCCTCTACCATCGTCCCCAATATGCTGTCCAATCACTTACTCAGCAGTCAGACCATCTCCTTCCCTGCGTGTCTTACACAGATGTATTTTTTCATTGTGCTTATTGTCATGGACAATTTCCTCCTGGCTGTGATGGCCTATGATCGCTTTGTTGCTGTGTGCCACCCTTTACACTACACAACAAAGATGACCCATCAGCTCTGTGCCCTGATGGTCACTGGGTCCTGGGGCATTGCCAGTTTGCATACTCTGTTGCATACCCTGCTGATGGCTC